GGAGTGACACTGGGGACAGGTGGTGATAAGGAACAGGGCCAGCATTGGCTGTGTGGCACCAAGTGTGCTGCAGAGGGGTGGGGTGGGGTGCCACCCTGACCCCCAGCACCCTCTGCCAGGCCCCAGCACCACTCAGGGCTGGTGCCACACGTGACCTGAGGACTCACCCCAGTCATCAGCCAGGCTGGAGCCACTGAGCCAGTTCTCCAGGATGGACAAAACCCCACGGCATAAACCAAGGAGCACCAACCTCCAAATTACAGGCTAGGCCAAGCCAAGCTCCTCCCAGAGGCTTTCTGCAGGTGAAGGAGGGGATCCAAGCAGAGTCACTGCCCCAAAAATGCCACGGCCCACGGTGACCCTGCCTGGGTGACACCAGCCCTACAGCGCCAGCGTGTCCTTGATGAGCCGGCGCATGGTGGTGGTGACCGAGGTGCCCAGGGAGTCCGTGATCTGGTAGGAGATCTTGTACAGGTAGGGCTGCACGTCCTTCAGGCTGGTGTCAAAGACGTTGTCCACCTCGGACTGGGTGGGCATCTTGGGCAGGTACTCGTGGCGGTTCATCACCTCCACGATGTTGATGATCTTCTCGCAGAGCTTCTCCCCCACCTTCTCGCGGCAGATCTGCCGCTCCTGCTCGTTGGCCAGGTTCACCACGTTCACCTTGATGGTCCACAGCTCCCAGGGAATGCACTCGTCCGAGAAGGGCCACCGTGACTTCTTCTTCTGGTAGAACTCCAGGGAGATCTGCCCCATGCCGTCGGAGCCGGAGCCGCGCAGCGCGTCCTGCGGGACAGCACGGGGTTCAGGGGGAACAGGGACTGAGCAACCCCTCCTCGGGCACATCCCACTGTGTTCTCAGGATCAGAATATCCTTAGGATCATCCAGGCAAACTCCTGGCCCTGCCCAGTTCACCCCAGCAATCCCACCACTGAGAGTGGTGTCCAAACACTCCTTGAGCTCTGGCAGCCTCGGGGCCATGACCACAGCCAGTGCCCAATCACCCTCTGGGGGAAGGAGCTTTTCTCAATATCCAGCCTACCCCTTCCCTGCCACAGCCCTATCCATTCCCTCAGTCATGTCACTGTCCCAGGGAGCAGAGACAAGAGCTGCCCTAGGGACAAAGCTGAGTCTCCTCCAGCTGAACAGATGTAATGCCCTCATCTGCTCCTTTTAATCCACCCACACGATCCCCCTACTCGATCCTGGGTGACCCTTGGAGATGTGTGGCCTCCCTTTAATGCCTTTTATGCTCCCATTTTCCCCCTTACCTTGAACTCCCCGACAGCCTTGCGGAGGGCCCGGTCGAGCTCCTCGGAGGAGACGCGGACGTAGGCGAAGTCGATGAAGTCGCAGTCCACGTCCTGGGTGCCCACGGTGCCGATGGAGTAGGTGCCCTCCTTCTTGTAGTGGAACTTGCCGGTGCTGCGGTGCAGCAGGACGGTGTGGAGCACGGCCAGCATGGCCTCCTCCACCTGCCTCCCCTCCACCGACACCTCCAGCACCTCGGCGCGGCAGTTCATGGCAGGGCCGGCGCTGGAGGGGCCACAGCAGCGGCTGCTGAGGGGACACAAGGGTGGGAGGGGGGTGTTGGTGGCAGTCTGGCTTGGGTGACAGCCCCTCTGCCACCCCCCCGTACGCTGCTGTCCCGGTACCCCACAGGGACCCATCCAGATGTCCAGATCTGAGTCCCCCACATGCCCCAAGAACCCAGGCACCCTCGATATAGATCCCTCCCATAGCCTAACAGAGACCAAATGTCCTGATTTGAGCCCCCCACATGCCACAAGGATCCAGACACCCTCGGTACAGGCCCCCCGTAGCCCCACAGAGATGGGGTGGGTTGAAATCCCTCACATCCCACAGACATAGGCTCTCCCCCACACCTCGCAGAAGCTCAGGGGGTTCAGGACTGGGTGCCCCAAAGGGATCCAGGTGTCCCACGATGGGTGAGCCCCCTCCACAGGGACCCAAATATCTCGGTCTGGTCTGCTCACTGTCCCAGTGCATGCCCGCCCACCCAGTGTGGGCCTCGTGGTCCCGGTACAGGCCCCTCAATATCCCACAGGGACCCAAATGTCCTGGTCTGAGCCTCTAACAACCCAGAGAAACCGGAGCTGGTCCCCTCACACCCCGGCCGTTAGCACACAGGGACGCCAGGAGTCCTGCTACGGGCTCCACAACACCCCAGAGGAGTAAATGTCCTGGCCAGGTCCCCTCAGGGATCCAACACCCCTGAGGAACCCGGGTGTCCCGCTACGGGCCCACCCCCACCTCACAGGACCCCCCAAAAACACCACACGGGTCCAGACGTCTCGGCCCGAGCCCACCTCACTCTCGCACGGAGCGCCTCAGGATCCCTCCAGGCTGGAGGTCCCGGATCCCCCTCGGTCCCTGGGCCCCCTCAGCCCCGTCCCCGGACGCCCCTCAGCCCCGGCCCCGGTGCTGGTCCCGGTCCGCACTCACCGCCCGGGCCCGACCATCTGACGGCACGGAGGAGGGAAGTGGATCATCCCATCTGCGCGGGGGGTTCAGAACGCACCACCGGCCATCGTAGAGGCTTTTCCGGCCATGACCACCGTGTTTCATCACTCTGAACTTGATTCCGTTAACATTTTGCCCCTTCGGTGCCGTTCCCGGCCTCGGGGTCTCATGGGGGTGGATTCGCCGTTCCGAGTCCGTGAATTCCCCTCTTCCCTGCTTGGTTCGTTCCAAAGAGACCATAGAGCCGCATTGCCGCAGCCCAGAGCGGCTCAGCGGCTCCATTGCGCTCCCTGTGCTGGAGGCTCCGCTGCGGTACTGCAGCGGGGGGCGGGTGTCCCGCGCTGACCCCGACGGCGACAACGGGGGGGACACGTGGGGACACGGGACACTGGGGCACGGGACACTGGGCACGGACGGGGCCCGGGGATACCATAGGGACACGGGAAACACCTGGATATGAAGGGACACAAGGAGCAGGGCCATGGGGAAATAAAGAAGAAGGGACACAGGGACAGATGGACGCAAGGGACAGCGTGACACAGGGATGTGGGAACAGCGGGGGAGATACGGGATAAAGCTGCGTGACACAGGGATGTGGGGACAGGGGAGATACGGGATAAAGGGACATGAAGACTAGGGGGACAAAGGGATATGGGGATAAGGATGGAGATGGGAGATAATCGGATATGGGGACACGGGCACAGGGTGTAAGTGGCAGCAGGGATGTGGGGACTTGGGGGACACAGGAACAGGGGATGGATGGACATGGGGACACAGGGAACGGGGACATGGGCATTTGGGGCACTGATCGGCCACGCTGCCATGGGGACACACGGCTTGGTGCCAGTCGCAGCTGGAACGGTGGCGTGTGGGGACACGGGACACTGGGGCACGGGACACTGGGCACGGACGGGGCCCGGGGATACCATAGGGACACGGGAAACACCTGGATATGAAGGGACACAAGGAGCAGGGCCATGGGGAAATAAAGAAGAAGGGACACAGGGACAGATGGACGCAAGGGACAGCGTGACACAGGGATGTGGGAACAGCGTGACACAGGGATATGGGGACAGGGGAGATACGGGATAAAGGGACATGAAGACTAGGGGGACAAAGGGATATGGGGATAAGGATGGAGATGGGAGATAATCGGATATGGGGACACGGGCACAGGGTGTAAGTGGCAGCAGGGATGTGGGGACTTGGGGGACACAGGAACAGGGGATGGATGGACATGGGGACACAGGGAACGGGGACATGGGCATTTGGGGCACTGATCGGCCACGCTGCCATGGGGACACACGGCTTGGTGCCAGTCGCAGCTGGAACGGTGGCGTGTCACCGTGCGGGGTGCCGGGCACACACCGACACAGCCGCGTCTGTGCCGAGCAGCCCCGGGACCACCGGCGTGGCCGCAGCTGTCCACGGAGCTGCTTTTACCCTGCCGGTACAGTGCCCGTCCCTCCTGCAGCAGCCCGTGCCGAGGGAACGGGGACAGCGATGGGGACAAGGTGGCAGAGGGCAGCCCTGAGCTGTGGGAGGGGACAGAGCCGTGCCGGTGCCAACCCCGTGCCCACCGTGCCCGCTGTGTGCAGCTCCGCTGTTCCCCCCCCCGATTCCCGTTCGCGGCCCCGCCGTGCGTCAGCGCTGTCCCCGCGGCGGGGGCGGCGGCGGGGGGGACAGAGGGACCCTTGTTGTGTGTCACTGCGGGCGCCCCCGGCCCCGCGCCTCAATGTGGCCCTTGTTCCGGGTGTCCCCGTTAACGCTGCCTCCGGGACCAGGCTGTCCCCAGCAGGAGGAAGGCGACAAGGCGGGGGACACATCAGCCGCGCGTGTCACCCCCCTGCCTCGGAGCCCCCGGCTCTGTCCCCAACCCCTGAGCTCGGGACCCCAAACGCCACCACCCCCCCGCCAGGGCTGGCCCTGCCAGCGGCCACGTCCCCAGGAACACGAGCGGGGGACACGGTCACGCTTCCCGGTTATTTTGGGGAGGATAAATCAGGCAGGCGACAGGTGCGGGGCCGCGGCCGCCGGGGGTGAGTGACGGTTCAAGGGCAGCGGCGTGGGCAACGTGCGGCACCGGAGCCGCGGCTGTCCCCGGCTCCCGAGCCCCGGCTGCCCCCGGTTTTGGCATCCCGGCTGTCCCCGGTTGTCCCCGGTTTTGGCATCCCGGCTGTCCCCGGCTCCGGAGCCCCCGCTGTCCCCGGCTGTCCCCGGCTCCCAAGTCCCGGCTGTCCTCGGCTCCCAAGTCCCGGCTGTCCCCGGTTTTGGCATCCCGGCTGTCCCCGGCTCCGGAGCCCCGGCTGTCCCCAGCTCTGACTGTCCCCAGCCCCGGCGTCCTGTTTGTTCCCTCCGGCTCCCCCTCCGCGGTGTTCTGGCTGCCCTCAGCTCCAACATCCCGTTTTCTCCCGTCTCCAGCGTCCCAGCTGTCCCCAGCCCCGCTGCTCTGTCCCCCCTTCCCAATCCCCGAATTTAACTAAAGGGGAACACAATGGACAAAGGTCCCGCCCGGTGCCTCTCACTGTACGTACAAGTTTATATACAGAAAATGGCCAAAAAGAGGGAAACCCAGAAAAATATATATAAAGGGGAAGGGGCCGAGGTTGAGGGGGCCGGAGCCACCCCCCGCCCGCACCCCCCGCTCTGTACAGGACCCGGCCGGCGCTATTTACATCAGGGACGTTTTTACAGGGGAAGAGGGCACCGCGCCGGCGATGCCCCCGGGGAAGACGGCACCAGGGCTGCTGGGAGGCCTCACCCTGGGCCGTGAAGGCACGTGGGGCACCCCCAAGGGTGCCCCCAAGAAGACTCAGGCATCTGAGGGAGGACCCAGATGTCCTGGGAGTGATCCAGGGGGTCCCAGGCATCCCTGGAGTGATGCAGGGGTGGTCCCAGGCATCCCAGGAGTGATCTAGGGGTGCCCAGGGGGTCCCAGGCATCCTGTGGATGACCCGGGGTGGGGTTCCAGGTGTTCTGGGGGTGATCCAGGGGTATACATAAAGTCTTGGGAATGGCCTGGGGGGATCCCAGGTGTCCCAGAGGTCATTCAGGAGTCCACAGGGATGTCCTGGGCATTCCAGAACCGATCCAGGAGTGACCAGGGCAGGTTCCAGGCATCCTGGGAGTGATCCACGGATGCCCAGGTGGTTTTTGGGCATTCTGGGGGTCACCCATGGGGGGTCACAAACATCCCAGGGCTGATCTAGGGTACCCAGGGGATGTTCCAGACATCCCAGGGGTGACCCAGGGGTGCCCAGGGGGTTCCCAGGCATCCTTGGACTGAGCCAGGATTGCCCAGGGCGGGTCCCAGATGTCCCCAGGCAGGTCAGGGGCTCACGGCAGCCCCTTGCCCGGGACTCAGAAAGGCAGAGTGTCCATGAAGATCTTATCGACGATGGGTGGCGGCGGCACCAGGTCCTCCAGCTTGAGGTAGAAAATGCGCTGGAGGCCCTGGGTGCAGAGGCTGCGCAGCTCGGGCAGCTTCCCCAGCAGCTTGGAGAGGCAGCTGGAGCGGCCGGGCTCAGCCCCTGCTGCTGCCACGTGGTCCTTGAGGCAGCCCACGATGCGGTTCTGCAGCTCCTCCACCCGCTTCGGCTCCTTCAGCCCGTGCCGGTCTGCGGGTGACACACACAGCGTGTGGGACGGCGGGGACAGACACCAGGTGGCGACGGGGACAGGGACAAGCCTGGAGCTGGGCGGGACTCACCTGTGATGATGACGAGGGCGGCGAGGCAGGAGAAGGAGGGGACATCGACGCTCATGCGGTGCAGGCTCTGGGAGAACTCGAGGATGGCGTCGATCCACTCCCCGAAGCCACGCACGCACTGCTGCCGGTGCAGCACCACGCCGTTGCAGAAGATGAGTTTCCCTTCCTCTGGCTTGGAGCTGCCAGCAGAAATCCAGGTGTCACCCCTGGGCACAGCTGGGGCTCCCCCTGCTCCGCGCTGCCCCGGGGCTCACCGGTATGCCAGGCGAAGGATAAAGAGCTCCAGGAAGGCTGACTCCAGCAGAAGGTCCTGGTCCTCCTTGGGCAGCTCGGTGAAGCCCTGGATCTTCTCGGCCCACTTGCGGATGACGTCCATGGAGCCGGTGAGCAGGTCGTAGAACTGCTGCACGTCCACAGAGTCCTCCTTCTCAAACGGGCACGGCGCCGACTCCTGGAACTGGGGAGGGGATGGGTCAGGACCGGGATGGGTCAGGATTGGGGTGGGATGGGATGGGATGGGATGGGATGGGATGGGATGGGATGGGTCAGGACTGGGATGGGTCAGGATTGGGGTGGGATGGGTCAGGACTGGGATGGGTCAGGATTGGGGTGGGATGTGATGGGATGGGATGGGATGGGTCAGGATTGGGATGGGATGGGTGAAGAACTGGGGTGGGGATGGGTGAAGAACTGGGAGGGGGATGGGCCAGGATTGGGATGGGGATGGGTCAGGAACAGGAATGGGTCAGGACCTGGGACAGGGGGTGGATCAGGAATTGGAATGGGAATGGGATCAGGACCTGGGATGAAGATGGGTGAGGAACTGGTGGGAATAGGAAAAGGATCTGGGATGGGGAAAGGTCAGGAACTGCTGGGTTAGTAACACGGATGGGTTTGGATCAGGAACTGGGATGGGGACAGGATCAGGGTCTGGGTGAGTAACTGGGACAGGGATGGGTCAGGATCCAGCCCCAGCCCTGGCATGGCCCTCCAGGAGTGGCACCAGCCCTACCTTGGAGTAGTCGAGCTTGGTGGCACTGGGGATGGAGTCAATGTGTGCCCGCACCAGCGAGGTGATGAGGCTGACCGGGGACGCATCCGGCGGCTGCTTGGGCTTGGAGGGGAGACGGCCCCGCCGCCCCTTCAGGCTGTCGGTCCGGACCACTGTGGTTGGGGCTTGCAGTGAGTGCCTGTCCTCAGGGCAGCCAGAAAGGCTGCAGAGAGGGGACTCCCCGCTCCTGCTGGGTACCCCCACCCGGGACGGGACCCTGGTACCTTCTTTGACCATGCCGACGGCCAGGCACTTCTGGAAGCGGCAGAACTGGCAACGGTTCCTGCGCCGCTTGTCCACAGGGCAGTCCTTGTTGGCCAGGCAGATGTACTTGGCATTCTTCTGCACTGTGCGCTGCGGGTGGGGAAGGAGCGGCCGAGCTCAGCCCGGGGCGCCGAGCTCCAAACAAAAGCCCTTCTGTCCTCCCCTGCCTCCCGCTCCAGCCCAGCATCCGGCTCCGTGTCCGTGGGGAGGGCTCCGCGGCCGTGCCCCCTGCCCTGCCCCTCCCCGGGACCCCCCGCAGCATCCTCCTGCTGCCGCAAAGCACTGTGGGAACATCCCGGCAGCAGCGGCGAGCCCGGGGGTCCCCTTACCTTGAAGAAGCCCTTGCAGCCCTCGCAGGTGCGCACGCCGTAGTGCTGGCACGACGCGTTGTCCCCGCAGACGGCGCAGCGGCCCTCACCTGCCCCGGGGCTGCGCACCTTGGTGGGCGCCAGCGCCGGCCCCTCCAGCAGCGGAGAGGTGGGGGCCAGGGGCAGCCCCGCGAAACCCCTGGGACCACCCTGGCTCGGGGGGAAGGCGTCCGTGTCCAGCAGCCGCGGGTCCACACGGGGCGAGGGGCCAAGCTGCCCCTTCAGGGTGGCAGGGGACCCAGCAGGGCTGGGGGCCGGGGGGCCGAAGGCGAAGAAGGGGGGCTGTGACCCCCCGCCCTTGGCTGGCTCAGCCCAGGGCTGCCCACCCTCATAGTTCGGCAGCGGTGAGTACGCCCCGAAGGAGCCCTCCCAGCCTGGCGCCTGCGGGGGCTGGAAGCCGGGCGTGGCGGGCGAGGGGATGGAGCAGGGGCTCCCGTAGCAGTCCGAGCCGCTGGAGGACAGGGTCTCGTCCGGCTGCCCCCCGAAGGCGCTGGGGTAGCAGCCGTACACCTGGAAGTCCTCCAGCTTGAAGGCGCTGGACTGGCCGCTGGCTGGCAGCTGGTAGAGGAAGGCGTCGAACTCGCCGGCGTAGCCCTCCATGAAGGTGCTGAAGCTGGGCAGGGCAGGGGCGGCCGCCAGGTCGGCTCCAGCCACTTCCATGGGGAATCGGCCGCCCTCGGGGCTGAGCAGCTCGGCCGGGCAGCGCTCGCAGGGGCCGGCGCCCGTGGTGCTGCACTGTGCCTGGATGCAGGGCATCTCTGCGGGGAGAGAGAGGCGTCAGCGGGACCCCGACACCGCCCCTCCGGCATGCAGGCAGGGGATGGAGAAGGTGGGAACTGTGAGGACTTCCCCAGGGCTCCCCTCGTGCTGGAGCTGCACCTCCATAGCCGCTGGCTGCGTGGTGGCTGCCACCAGTGTCCCTGGGAAAGGTCACGGCACAGCCAATGGGTGCAAAGGACATTCCCCAAAACGCTGGCTTAGCAAAAGCCCCCGAAAGGGAAGGAGGGAGGAACGTGGCCAGCAGATTCCCAAGCCCTCGAGCTGGCCAAGGGAAGCTGGAGTTGGGGCTGAGCTGGGTTTTGAGGATTCCATTTCCCCCGTAACCCCTTTTAGGGCTTTTTGGGAACATTAGTGCAGGCAGCCGTCCAGGTGAGGGGGAGAGCAGCCCACCCTCTGTCCCTGGAGCCCCCCGGAGCTGTGCATGGATCTGGTGAGACATAAGACAAGCAGAGTCCTGTGTCCAGCTGAAAGCCAAGCCAGAAGTGACCCCAATGGCAAGACGATAATGTAATTCATCTCGCAGACCTTTAAAGGTCACGCTGCACTGGCCCCCGGCCACGTCCTGGCACGGCCCTGCTGCCAGAGCCCCCGGATTCCCCCAGCCAAATCTGGGCAGCTCTCTCGGCCACCAAGAAAGCCGACACCCGCCAGAAGCCGGGTTTAAAAATATCCAGAGTGGGTCCAGCTCTGGCACCCACGGGATGGCACCAGCCCCCAGCCCCCTGCTGGTGGTCGCAGCGGAGTTTGTGCGTGTCCAGCTGGGTCCAGAGGGAACAGTGACCCCCCAGCTGCCTCCTGTCCTCAAATGAAGCCGAGGGGACGTGAGGCCGTGCTGGGTACACGCCTCGGGGAACACTGTCTGTTCCAGTGGGAGTTTTCCGTGCCTACATGAAAACCCTGGCAGATGAAACGCCTCGACCCCTCCTGTGGTCCCGCTTGTTTGAAGGTTTTTGCTCTCACCCACTCGCTGACAGAATTTTTGGTCCCCTCTGCCCTGTCTCACCCACTCGCTGACAGCATTTGGGGTCCCCTCTGCCCTGTCTCACCCACTCGCTGACAGCATTTGGGGTCCCCTCTGCCCTGTCCCCCCCGGGAGCGGGCACAGATTCCCTCCGCAGCCTCCGTGCTGCCCACGGCCGGGCTGTATTTGCAGATTCCTGGTTTGGGAGCGCGGGCAGCTCCTGTGCCCAGCCCCGCGGCTCTGCCTGCACGGGCGGGTGGCAGCCGCTGGCACCGGGCCCCTGGCCGCGGGCGGGTGACAGCAGCCGGTGGCACCGGGGGTGGCTCACGCTGCCCACATCCCTACCGGCACCTGCTGCCCGCTAATGCCCAGCGGCTGCTGCCAGCCCCGCGTGGGCAGCGGGGGGTTTGCCCGCACCGGGCTGGCTGCCTGCACATCCCTGTCCCCGCTGCCAGCTCCCGGCGCTGCCGGCACATCCCGCGTTCCCGGTGCTGCCCGCGTGCTCCTGCCTGCCCCGCTGCTGCCCTCTCCGGTTCCGTGACCGCTCTGCTCAGGGATCCCGGGGTGATGCCCGGTGTGGGGTGGCTCTGCCCCCTGCGATCCCCAGAGACGGGGATTTCCTGCGTCTGCAGCTGGTCCCGGTTGGGGTGCCATGATGGGGGAACCGGCCCGGTCCCCCATGGCCCAAGAAGCAGCTCCCGGTCCTGCCCAGCTCCTCACAGAGGAGAGGGCGGTGTCGGGCTTTTCCCGGGACTCCCGGGGCTGGGACCTCTCGCTCTGCCAACTCCCACCGGGTGCGCGACCCCCGGCTCTTGCCGGTGTTACCGGCACTCCTGACCCAGTTCCTGCCGGTGCCACTGGGACACCCGATCCCGTGCACCTCCCAGCGCCACGCGGGACACCCGACTCGGTTCCTCCCGGTGTCACCGGATACCCACAAGTGACAGCCCCGCACAGCGCGCGCCGCCCGGTGCCTTCCACCGGGACCCCCGACTCTCGCCGGTAGCACCGGGGGTTCCTTCCACAGCGTCCTTCGGCTCCACCGGGATGCGCGACCCTGTTGCCCGAGGTGCAACTGAGACACCCGACCACATCCATCCACCTTGCGGGACGCCCACCTCCCTGAGCCCCCGGTGCCACCGGGACGCCCCACCCGGATCCCCTCGGTGCCACCTGACACGCCCGATCTGAATCCCCCCGGTACCGCCCGGACAACGGCTCCTGTTCCCCCGGTGCCACCGGGACACCCGACACCGTGCGCGCAGCCCGCCCCCGCTGCCGGCACCACGCCGTGCCCCCGGTGCCCCCTGCCCGGCCCCCGCATCCCGGTGCCGCCCGTACCCGGGTGCCGGCGCTGCGGCGCTCCGGTTCCTGCTCCTGCCACGGCCGCTCCGCGGGCTCCGCCGGGCTCCGGCCCCGCCACTACTTTCTCTTAAGCGCTCGGTGACGCGCGGGGCGGCGCGGGGCCGGTGACGCACGGGGGGGGCGGCCCCGGCGGGGGCGCGGCCGTGACGCACGCGGGGTTCCATTGACGCACCCGCGGCCCCGGCTAAAAATACCCCCGCGGCCCCGGCTAAAAATAGCTCGGGCGCCCCTCGCTTCCCCACATATCCCCCCCGGGGCTCCGGGGGCCGCCGGAGGGGGGGAGGGAGGCCCCGGTGTCAGGGGTATCCCCGGTGTCCCCAGAGCCGGTGGCCTTTCGGTATGCACGGTGTCTCCTCGCTGCCGGTGCCCCGGGGCCGGCGTCCCCCTGTGCCTCCATCGCCGGCGCTCTCTTGCTGCCGGTATTTCCGGTGTCCCCTCGCTGCTGGAACTCCGGTGCGCCCACCCCCGATGCCCCCTCGGTGCTGGCATCACTTCAGTCCCCACCCCCGGTAGCCGCTCGGTGTCGGTATCCCCGGTGTCCCCTCGCTGCCGGTACCCTCGTGCCCCCATTCTCGGTGCCCTCTGGGTGCCGGTATCTCCGGTACCATTATCCCCGGTGTCCCCTCAGTGCTGGCATCCCCGGAGCCCCCTCGGTGCCGGCATCTTCAGTGCCTCATTCCCGGTGTGACCCCGGTACCTCCCGCACCCCCGGTACCGCTATGCCCAGTGCCCATCTGGGTATCTCCGGTGCTCAGCGGCACCGGTACCCCCGGGCTCCTCCCGCTCGGTGCCGGCTGCGGGGGGAGTGACGCGGGGTCCCGCCCCCGCCCGGTCCCCGCGGGGAGCCCCTGGCGGGGCCGATGGAAAGAACGGCGGCTGCTGGCGGGCGCCAGCGCCGGGAAGAGCGCCCGCGGGCTGGAAAGATGAGCTCAGCCCGTGCGGAGCCGGCCCGGGCCCGCGGGAGGGCGAAGGGTGAGCGGAAGGGACCCAGAACTCCGCAGTACCCTCCGGTACCATCCCGGTACCCCCTCAATACCCTCCGGTACCATCCCGGTACCCCCTCAATACCCTCCGGTACCATCCCGGTACCTCCTCAATACCCTCCGGTACCATCCCGGTACCTCCTCAATACCCTCCGGTACCATCCCGGTACCTCCTCAATACCCTCCGGTACCATCCCGGTACCCCCTCAATACGCTCCGGTACCATCCCGGTACCCTTCGGTACCACTCCAGCACCTTCCCTCGTACCCTCCGGTAGCGCCCCGCAGCTTCCCAGCCGGTACCGTCCGGTACCACCCCGGTACTCCTTTGGTATCCCCTGGTACCGACCCGATACACGTCGGTACCGGCTCGGTACCGTCCCTTGCCGTACCCGCCGGTTTCCACTCCCGGGGACAAACCGGGGGTCTGGGCGGACCCGGCTCGCTGTGCCCGGTTTGGCAGCGACCCCGGGGCTGACAGCGCCGTTAGTTCTCCCCCGTTAGTGCCGCTGCAGCGGTAGAACCCCCGGCACGGTTCCACCGGGAGGCTGGGGTCGGTGCCCCGGGAGCCGCAGCCGGCACCGGGGGTGCTGCCGTGACCTCCGGTACCGGGATCCTGCCCGGCCTCACGAAACCCCCGGCCCCGTGAGCAGCAGCGGTGGCGGGGGCAGCCCGGCAGAGGGGTCCGGAGGGCTCACGGGGGTACCGGAGGAGGCGGCCCGGGACCGGGCGCTCGCTCGTTCACTCTCACTGGCCCCGCTTCTCGCTGTCGCCCGCCCCCGACGGTGTCCCGTGACATCACACCTGGCCGCTGACGTCACACCTGCTCACTGACGTGTTGGGGATCCCGCGGCACCACCGGGGACGCCCCCAGAGGGATCCCCCGGGCCCGGCGGGACCCGACGAGGTCACTGCAACACGCGACGAGGAGCAGGGCCGGTACCAGCCCGGGGACACGGCCACGAGCCCTCGGGACCGGTCAGACAGAAGGGTACCGGAGCTGTCCGGGGTCCCAACGCCACCGGGCGCGCGGAGCGGGGGGGTGCAGCCCCCCGCATCCCTCGCTCGGTGGTGGCGGTACCGGCGGCAGGAGGGTGACACCGGCAGCCCCCGCAGCCGGGATTAGCTGTACCCCGGGAGAGGTCGCGGGGACTGCGATGGCTTCGGGGGAGGAAACCCGAGCCCAGCCACCCTGGCAAGGCCACGGGGGTGCAGGGAGGGGACTCCTGGTCACAGCAGCCCTAGGGAGCCACCCCGACACCCAGGTGGGGACACGACGGCCACCAGGCAGCCCCAGGGTGGCGTTGGGGCTTGCAGGGTGCCCGGGCGATGATCAGCCGGTGCTCACGGCTGCCCCTGGCTCCCTGCCCCGGGCCTATATTTATCGGTAATGACAGGCTGCTCCGGGGCGTTCCCGGTCCGTACCCCGCTGCCTCGGCCCCCCGGCCCTGCCCAGCTCAGCCGGTGCCACGCGTGACCCCGGCGTCCCACGGCCACCTGCCCATTTCCGGGCACACGCAGCCCCAGGTCGGGGCTATAAAAAGCTCAGCGTGGGGTGGCAGCTGCCACAGGGGGGGTCCCGTGGTGGCTCTGACCGGAACGGGATGCTCCGGGCCTGGCTGCACGCGGGAGGACGCCGGGGCTGCGGGAGCCACACCATAAATGTCCAGCTCGGAGCTGTCCTGGAACAGGGACAGGGCAGGAGAGCGTGGGGGAGAGGGCTGAGCCCCCCACCCCCCTCCACGGCACGCACTGACACCGGCACTTGTCACCCCCAGATCTCCACAGGCTCCTCTTGGGGGGACAGGGGGGGCAAGGGGAGAGTTGGGGTCCCCAGAGAACCCGGTCAGAGGGGAAACCGAGACACAGCAGAGGGCTGGGGGCTCTCGGTGCTCCACCTGTGCAAGGGAACCCCCGTGCACACACCGGTGCTGCAGCGGCTCCCCAGCTCTGGGGGTGCCTTGTGTCCCCCAGCTCCTCTGGATGCTGCTTCTGCAGCTCTGGGGGACACTGAGGCAGCTCGTGGGGGACCCCTGTGCCCGTCCTGCGTGGGCACCGCAGGGCACCGTGTCCCCCGCAGGCGGAAGGGCTCGGGGTGGGACTCGCTTCCCGCCGGCTCCCGGAGGAAACGGGGCAGGAAGGGCCTGGCCGGGGCCCCGCAGCGCCGGGACGTGGCCGACGGCACCGGAGGGGGGGACACAGGGGGTCCCCGGGAGCTCGCTCACGTCCAGGGTGACAGCAGTTGGTCACCCCAAGGCCGCCCTGCCCGGAGCACAGCGAGGAGGGGGCTCCAAGGGGGCAGCGTGGGGGTGGGGGGGAGCTACAGCCCCCAGCCCCCCCATGCTGGTCCCCACGGGGCTCTGTCCCCTCTCAGTCACAGGCACACATCGCTGCAAATCCTCTCTGTATTGGCCCACAGCGAGGAGGGGGCTCCAAGGGGGGTGGGAGGGAGCTTCAGCCCCCAGCCCCCCCATGCTGGTCCCCACGGGGCTCTGTCCCCTCTCAGTCACAGGCACACATCGCTGCAAATCCTCTCTGTATTGGCGAGCACTGACGCGGTACAACAGCCCGGGAGGGGGAGGGGCAGGGGTGGGACCCCCACGACCCCCCCCCCAGCCTGGGGAATGCGGGGCTCCCCCGGTGCTCCCCTCCAGGGAGGAAGGTCCCGCTCCGTGAGCCGCTTCAGGAGGGTCCTCACGTCTGTCCCTTGGTGCTGTGTCCGTCCCTCAGTGTCACGATCCCCACGGCCCGGGGGGGGGCCAACCAAAACCTCCTTCCTGCAGCCCCAGGGAGGGGGGGCCGGGGGAATGAAGCCCCTTGCAATAAATAAATAAATAGTCCTGGAGGGCCGGCGGCTAGAGGTGACTCTCTTCCTCCTCCAGCGCCCGGTTGAGACCCGGGATGAACTTGAGCAGCCGCTGGCGGAAGCTGCTGTGCCGGTTCTTGCGGGGGGCGGCGGCTCCGTCCCCAGGGTCCCCGGCCCGGGCCCAAAGCCTCCCCGCAGCCCCCGGCCCCCCCGCACACTTGAGGCTGGCGCTGCGGGCCAGGGCGGGTCGGGGACGCGGTGGTGGGGGCGCGGGACCCCCGCTGTCCTCATCCTTGTCCTTGTCGCCATCCTTGTCCCCATCCAGGGAGCTGGAAGAGGCGAAGACGCAGGTCTGGTACAGGGAGTCATCGCTGCCGCTGGCACGGGAGGAGCCCCCCGGCAGCCCCTCCCCCTGCAGGCACCAGCGGATGGACTCCAGCGTGTCGTAGATGCTGGGGTCCTTGGCCACCACACCTGATGGGGGACACGGGGGTGTCAGGGGGGCCGGGTGGTGCCCCAAAATCCCCCCACCAGCCCCCCCCGGCCCCCACTCACCTCGCACCAGCCGCTGCTCCTGCACCATCAGCGAGCGAAACTCCCCCCATTTCTCGTAGAGGGTTTGCTGTGGGGAGGGTGAGGGGGTCAGGACCCTGAGGAGGGGTCGCCAGCCCCCTGCGCCCCCTGCCAGCCCCTGCTCACCTTCAGGTACTGCAGCCGGGCCTCCAGCTCGGCCCTCCGGATGTTGGTGCCATAGAGCGTGTCGAGCCTGTGGGTCAGCAGCTGTCAGCAGTGGGGGGGCTGCAGCCACCCGGGCCCCCCCTGAGCCCCCCAGCTCACCGGAGAACGTTGCCCGAGCTCTTGATGATCTCCACGATCTCCCGGTGCCGGATGCCCTCCACGTTCAGCCCGTTCACCCCCGTGATGGTGTCCCCTGGAGCACAGGGTGAACAGGGGTTCAGGGGGGGCTGCTCCCCCACTGCTGGGGGTCCCCCCCGGCTCCCCCCAGGATGTGCTCACCAGCCTTGAGCCCCGCGGCCTCGGCCGGGCTGCCGTCGTGCACGCGGCACACGAAGGTGAACATCTCCACGCTGTTCCTGTCCTGGTGGTGCAGCCCGTAGGTCTGGAACGGGGCTCTGGTGAGGGGCACGGGGGCACCCCGACCCCCAGGAACCCCCCAAGAGCAGCCACGGGGCAGCAATGCAGAGTTGAATTGCTGCTGGGTGAGTGGGGCAGCGCGGCAGCCCCTGGCAGAGGGGGCTTGCCCCGATGGCTGCACCCCAGGGTGCCCCCCCAGAGGCACAGCCGGGGGAGGTACGGTGACTCTGTCACCACTAAAAATAACCCCCAGCTCAGAGACAACTTAAAAATACCCTCATGCAAAGCAAGGTGCGGGTAGGAAGGGTGGGGAGCAGGGCATGGCAGGGCTCAGCTCGGCTCAACACCCACCTGGATCTCGAAGCCGAAGGATTCCTCTGCCTTCTTCTCCAGTGTCACCACCCTCCTGGGGGACACAGGGATCAGGGACAGGGCAGAGCACCAGGCACACCCCAGCTGCCTGTGCAAACCTCTCAAAATGCTGCTTTGGGGTCATCAAGGACAGGACACCTCTGCCTGAGATGGGATTCCCTCCACCCCGCCCCCAGGGATGAGACTCCCCCCACCTCAGTTTGCCTTGGCCAGAGTTCTGTGGGTGCCAGGCACGATGCCCACAGGGTTTGGGGTGTCTGAGCCCACCAGGGAGCTGTGACCCCATGGCTGCTCTCACCTCCCCCATAAAATCCCCCTCATTTCCAGCCCTCCCGGGGTATCCAGAGTGGAACAATGTCCCAGTGCCAAGCTCCAACCTCTGGGACAGAGCCCCAGCCCCACTCCTGTGTCCCCTGTCCCTACCTGTGCTCCTCCGGGGACTGGCTCGGGGATCCCCACTTGAACCCCGTGTCCTGTGGCAAAGGAAGAGCCATCAGCCCGAGGGGACACCCGAGGTGACATCCCCCACCTCCTGCAGGGACATCCACAACGCCGCGTCCCACCGGGACAGCTCCAAACCCCGGGGGAGCACCGTGCCAAGCCGGCACCGAACCAGCACCCGGCTGCCCCCTGGGCATAACGGGGCTTTGATCAGGGCTCAAAGGCACCCTCAGAGCGCCCCGCGCTCGCCCCCACGCTTTGACGTCAGCCGCGCCGCGCCCACCCCACGCCGCGCTCCGAGGGGCCCCAGCACAGAGGGGCCCTGTTGTGGCCACAAAGTCGGGTTTTTTCCACAAAATCCACCCCCCCCCAGCCCAAACAATGCCCCTGTTGTGGCAGGCGCAGAGGCATGGGCGGGTGGAGGGACTGGCAGGACCCTCACCGCAGGGCAGGAGGTGACAGGGCTGTCCCCAAATGCCCCTCGGTGGCTGCGGGGCTCTGGCAGCCCCAGCGCCGCGCAGGCGGTGTCACCACAAGCTGCCCCTTGAGAGTGGCACATGGCACGTCTTGGTGACAGCCAGTGGTTCCCTCTGTGCTCTGCCTGTCACATGGGTGTCACCAGCCCTGCTGGTGTCACCAGATAGTGACAGACCTCCCCAAAAGCATCCACAGGAGCAAAACCACCAGAACTGGGCGTGTTCACCAAAGGGAAAGTTGTCGCCTGTCACGCTGGGCCCCACGTCACCACGGTGACGGGAAGGTGACGCAGGACACCCTGGACCCCTCAGGGACACGTCTGGTGGTGGCCTTGGCTGGTGAGCGGCAGCCAGGCCGCCGTGCACGTCTGGGCTGTGGCAGTGCAGCCGTGAGGCCACTTCTGCTCCGGATGTCGGCTCCGCTCCCGCTTCCCACAACGCTCAGGAAGCAGCACGGGGCCGGGGGGAGCGTCAGGGCGGTGTCGGTCCCAGTGTCACCACACAGGAGCTTTTCCAGGGGCCCCGTGCTCCACCAAACCACACCTGGAGGACTCTGTGACCTGTCCCTAAAGCAGACCTGGGGGACTTTGTGACCTGTCCCTTACCCTCCCTAAATCAGACTTGGGGAACTCTGGGACCTGTCCCTTACTGTCCCTAAATCAGACCTGGGGGACTTTGTGATCTGTCCCCTACCATCCCTAAACCAAACCCAGGGCACTCTGGGACCTGTCCCTTACTGTTCCTAAATCAGACCCAGGCTACTCTGTGACCTGTCCCTAAATCAGACTTGGGGAACTCTGGGACCTGTCCCTTACTGTCCCTAAATCAGACCCAGGGTACTTTGTGATCTGTCCCCTACCATCCCTAAACCAAACCCAGGGCACTCTGGGACCTGTCCCTTACTGTTCCTAAATCAGACCCAGGCTACTCTGTGACCTGTCCCTAAATCAGACTTGGGGAACTCTGGGACCTGTCCCTTACTGTCCCTAAATCAGACCCAGGGTACTCTGCCTGTCCCTTACTGCCCCTAAATCAGACCTGGGGTACTCTGTGACCTGTCCCTTACTGTCCCTAAATGGGACCCAGGGCACTCTGGGACCTGTCCCTAAATCAGACACGGGGTACTCTGTGATCTGTCCCTTACTGTCCCTAAATCAGACCCCTGTCCTGGGGTACCCTGTGGCTGATCCCCTCACCCTGTTCACAGGACAGAGTCCAGGGGGCTGTGGGGTCACACCTGTCCCCAAGGGGCTGTGGGGTCATGCCTGTCCTGGTGACAGAGCTACAAACAGTGGGTGGGGGTCTGTCCCTGTGCCCTGAAAGCTGCATGGCAGGACACGGAGAGGGACCAGGACAGGATGCGGGGCATGGGGGACACTGGGAAGGGGCACCTGAGGGAAGGTGGGGAGGGACCTTGATGTGGGGCTCGGGGGGAAACCAGGGTGGGGGTACAGGGACAACACCGGGGCAGGATCCGGGACAGGATGTGACGCCTGGGGGGACAACGCGGAGCGAGCGGGAAGGGGACAGCGGGAAGATGCTGCGGGAGGATGGGACAGGGGTGAGGAGATGCTGGGGCACGACGAGAGGCTGGGGACACCAGAGCGGGATGGGGACACGAGGAAAGCTTGGGCGTGCCCTCGGGGCAGGATAAGTGCCCAGGAGGAGAAACCGGAGCAGACCCGCGGGGTGCAGACACCGGCGGCTGAGCGGGACGGGGACACGGCGCAGCCCCGCTCCCACCGCAGCCCGTTACCGCCCGCGGCGCCGCTTCCCCCTCCGGCCCCGGTGCACAACGGCGGGCACCGGGGCCGCTCCCCCGCTGCCCAGCAACCCTACCTTGCGCACGCGGGGCAGGGTCCCGCCGGCCGCCGCCAGCGCTCGGTACAGCTCGGCGGGCCCGGGGCTCTCCGGGGCCACCGCCGGTGCCGCATCGTCCTTCGGCCGGAGCCGCCGCCGCCGCCGCCGCCGCAGGGTCATGGCCGGGCCGGGCCGTCCCGTGCGCCGCTATATGGACCCTGGGGGTGGGGACACGGCGGGACGCGCCCCTTTTTGGGGCCGAACCCACCCACTTGGGCGTTAAACCGCGGCTTTGGGGACAGACCACGCCCAGGGTCCGGCTGAGGCCCGGGCCCGGGCACGAATCGGGACCACGTGGAGTCGGGGGGAGGGTCCGGTGTGAGGGTCCTGCTCGGGGACCCCATCGGGGTCCAGTGGGGGGGTCCAGTAAGGGGGGTCCTGCTCAGGAGCCCCATAGAGATCCAGTGGGGAGTGGGGGTCCAGTGTGAGGGTCCTGCTTGGGGACTCCATCGGAGACCATTGTGGGGGGGTCCTGCTCTGCTCGGGTCTGGTGTGAGGGTCCTGCTCGGGGACCCCATCGGGGTCCAGTGAGGGGGTCCTGCTCGGTGATCCCTTGGGTGGGGTCCAGCAGGACGGAACAATTCGGGTTCCTGCTTAGGGATCCCTTGGGGGTCCAGGGGCAGGTTCCACCTGGGGTTCTGCTCGGTGACCCTCTGGGGGTCCGCAGGGGGGGTCAGCACAGGATCCTGCCCCGTGGGAGGGCCCTTCATGAAGTTCTGCACAGGGATCCCACGGGAGTCCAGCGTGGGGGTCTGGAGGGAGGGTCCTGCGTGGGAGCACCCTCAGGGACACCACGGGGCTCAGCGTGGACGTCTGGGTGCTTCTTGGGGCAGAAGAACCCGGGGGAGGCGGTATCCTGAGGGTGCAGGGTGGGATGCTGCTGGGAATGTCACGGGAGGCTCCGTGGGGTGCCAAGGAGGGATCCCAGGGATCACCTCAGGGATGATTTGGGGAGAAACCGATGGATTTCCAGGAGCAGAAGCTCCCCGACAGCTGCCACCACGTCACCCCCCGGGCCACCAGAGCCGCATTTGGGGTTTAATGGGAGGCAGGAGCTGGGGCAGGGGCGGCCCCAGCCCGCGGGCTGGCTCTCAGCGGGATTTAAACCGCTCCTGCACGATGTGTGCCGCGCTGAGCCGGGACACCAGAGGGAAGAACAATTCCCGGAGGCAGCCGCGGTGGCTGCTGCGGCCGCGCCGCGCGGCTCCGGCAGCTCCTCGCTGCGCCCCGGCGGGAGGCAGCGGGAATTTTCCAGCTGGAGTTGAGAGCTTTGCCCAAATGTTTGTTTAAAATTTGCCAAAAAAAATGAAGATCGTAACAATCCCGGCTGGCGTTCCACCCAAACCTCCCGCCCACAGCCCGGCCTGGGGTTACCAGGAGACAAATTTGCTCCAGGAGCAGAGCTGCTCTGGGCTGGAAGTGCTGGGGAAAGGATGGGATTGAGCCCACCATCCATCCTGAGTCACCAAACCACTGGGAATGAAGAGGAACACCCCATCTTGTTCCCAAAATTTGGTAATGACTTGGCTGCAGCCACCCCAGACTGTTTTCCCATTCCATGGAGGAGCAGACAGGTTTTCTTCAAGAATTCCCCATACTCTCATCTCAGTGCTGCCCACGTTTCCAGGATGGGGCTGGATTTTCCTGGGGACCACAGCAGGAGCTTCAGACAAAGCTGGGCACGAGGACAAGCCCAGATGGTGCCTCCCCCTCCCCACCTTGTCTGAGCCCGGGGGGACCCCAGGCCTCGGCAGATTTTCCCCTTGATCCGCTCACAACAGGCTCGTTTGCAGGAGGCTCTAATTAAGGAATTAGCAGGGGCAGTTCATGCAGCACCATTTACCCTCGGAGCAAACAGGATTTTGTAGGGGCAAGGGGTATTTTGCTGTGGGATTTATCTTTCCTTGAAGCTGTGGGTCCATGTGGAGACTCGGGGATGCTCCAGGGAGGTGCCCGCTGTACCCAGCGCACCCCCAGGGATGCTCTGAGGGGATCTCCAGGGTCTTTATCCTCTGTGACCCCTGCTCTGTGCCTGGCCACACAGTGGGAGCCCCAAGGTCAGCTGCTCATCCTGCATGGGTGGAAAATCCCACCTGCCACCTCTTTGTCTCACCTCCACTACGCTCTCGAGTGCTTGGTGGGTGTTGGAAGCTGCATATTCACTAAAAATGGGAATATTCAACATTAAAATGTTTTGATCAGGATTCCTAAAGAGATTATTTTAACTGTGAGGGACAAGCCTTCCCCCACAACCCCTCTCTGAGGGACTGAGCTGTGCCCTGCAATTCCCACCCCTCGCAGTGAACTGAGATTGCAACACCTCACATGAATAAAACAAACTTTTAATAATGTACAGCAGAAATCGACAGCCTGGTTTTATATTAAACAAAAGATTTCCTATCTTACACCGTATGTACATTTGCATACTGAAGAGGTAAAGTGGCTAAGTGGCTATTTTCTTACAGTCCTTTGCTAAGAAAATGTACAAAACCAAACAAATCAAAGGGGCAGAGAAGTACCAAGAATTCTGTCCTGCAGCCACGTACCGCTGATGGACCCCCCCCCTCCTTGTCCTGCACCTGGATCCCCTCAGAACTGCCTGGAATGGTGCTTTTTTCCCCCAGAGCTGCTGCAACTTTTTGGAGGCAGGCAGCAATTCCCACGTGCTCAGTCAGCTCGGCAAGCACTGGCGCCCCCGGGCACCGGTTTGCATGAAAGTGCTGTGAAAATGCTACATGGTCAGCGTTAGTTCCTCCCGCTGGCTTTTCCCCATCTCTCCTTTTAGAGAAACAAGGCTTTCCCTAAAATCCTTCCCTTCCTGAGCCCTGTTTGGTTTGGCGCTGAGGCAGGTGCAGTGTGGCTACAGTTGGAGGGGGCGAGTTCAGTGCGAGTTTCAGAGCTGATGGACCGGGAGGGGAGAGCCAAGGGGCAGCCGGCAGCACCCAGAGCTGTGCCTCGGCCCCTCCTGCCCTGCCCAGCTCCCACCCCGGGGCCTGCTCCAACGGCCCGGGAGTCCTCAGGGCTTCAGGGGCCCCCCTCGGCTTCTAAATACAGGTTTAACTGGGTTAAATGGACATTTAGGGCTTGCAACTGTCCCCTTCGGCTTTCAAGTCCAGGTTTAACTGGGGTAAACTGACATTAAGGGTTCTCAATCCACGTTTAACTGGGCTAAACCTGCATTTAGGGTTTGCAAGTGCACCCCTCAGCTTCCAAGTCCAGGTTTAACTGTGTTAAACTGACATTTAGGGTTTGCCAGTGCTCCCCTCAGCTTCCAAGTCCAGGTTTAACTGTGTTAAACTGACATTTAGGGTTTGCCAGTGCTCCCCTCAGCTTCCAAGTCCAGGTTTAACTGTGTTAAACTGACATTTAGGGTTTGCCAGTGCTCCCCTCAGCTTCCAAGTCCAGGTTTAACTGTGTTAAACTGACATTTAGGGTTTGCCAGTGCTCCCCTCAGCTTCCAAGTCCAGGTTTAACTGTGTTAAACTGACATTTAGGGTTTGCCAGTGCTCCCCTCAGCTTCCAAGTCCAGGTTTAACTGTGTTAAACTGACATTTAGGGTTTGCCAGTGCTCCCCTCAGCTTCCAAGTCCAGGTTTAACTGTGTTAAACTGACATTTAGGGTTTGCCAGTGCTCCCCTCAGCTTCCAAGTCCAGGTTTAACTGTGTTAAACTGACATTTAGGGTTTGCCAGTGCTCCCCTCAGCTTCCAAGTCCAGGTTTAACTGTGTTAAACTGACATTTAGGGTTTGCCAGTGCTCCCCTCAGCTTCCAAGTCCAGGTTTAACTGTGTTAAACTGACATTTAGGGTTTGCCAGTGCTCCCCTCAGCTTCCAAGTCCAGGTTTAACAGAGTTAAACTGAAATTTAGGGTTTGCAAGTGCCCCCTTGGCTCCTAAATGCAGGTTTAAGGGACATGTGAAACTGGGAACCTGTGGCTGAGATGTGACTCAGGACAAGCTGGGAGGGGACAGGGGAGCCCCAGCCCCGCTCCCAGGACAGACCCACGCTGCCAAAAACTCCTTGGGGGGTGCAAACCAGCTGCTAACGATTCAAAAACCACACTCCTCACTTTGTACAAGGTCATGGACACACGGGGAATGGGGGCAGAGGGACACATGGACAGGGACACAGACAGCAAGAACAGAGGGACTGAAATAAAGACAACCCTGGCAGCCAGAGCAGAGATGAAACCTCACCTTAGAGAGCAGGAGCAAGGTCAGAGTAGAAACAGTTCCAGTGTAAATCGAGCTGTGCATTTGGTTTTTTTCCTTTCTTTTTTTTTTTTTTTTTTTTTTGCAGTGATTTCTTTACAAACCAACAGGTCAAGAGGTAATAATTAGAGATTGTTTTTCTGCTCTTAGAAAGAATTAACAATATTCAAAAAAGTTAAAATCCAGACCCTCCCAGAAAACAATAATAATAATAATAACAACAACAACAATAATAATTAAAAAAATAATAATAATCAAAACCACTCCAGTTAAAAGTTATGGCTTCAGAGTTCTCTACTGCAGACACTGACCTGACCTCCACACCAGGGCTCCTCCTGACTGCCAAAGCCATCAGGGCAGCCACAGCCCCCACTTCCACAGTCTCTGTAGTCACCCCACCTCTCCCTCACCTGGATTCGGCATTGAATCAAAAGAAAACCCATGCAGATCCCCCCACCCCACACTGAGACACAGCCACTTCCACATTAGGAGATATTTATACACCTATATTAAAAAGATGGATGTTGATTTCCCAACCCACACCTGCTGTCAGATCCTGCCCAGCGCCTCTGGGAGGTGCAGAGCATCCCCAGAACTCAGATCACAGAATCACAGAATGAGCCAGGTTGGAAAAGACCTTTGAGATCATCAAGTCCAACCTGTGACCTAACCTAACACCTCCTCATCAACTAAACCATGGCCCTGAGTGCCATGCCCAGTCTTTTTTCAAACATGTCCAGGGACAGTGACTCCTCCACCTCCCTGGGCAGATGATTCCAGTACCCAATCACTCTTTCAGTGAAGAATTTTTTCCTGATGTCCAACCTAAACTTCCCCTGGCACAGCTTAAGGCTGCGTCCTCTCGTTCTGTCAGTGGTTGCCTGGGAGCAGAGACCCCACCTGGCCACAGCCACCTTTCAGGGAGTGTAGAGAGTGGTCAGCTCTCTCCTGAGCCTCCTTTTCTCCAGGCTGAACACCCTCAGCTCCCTCAGCCGTTCCTCACAGGGTTTGTGTTCCCAGCCCTCTCCAGCCTTGCTGCCTCCTCTGGACACGCTCAAGCATCTCAATCTCCTTCCTAAACTGAGGGGCCCAGAACTGGACACAGCACTCGAGGTGTGGCCTCATCAGTGCCCAGTACAGGGGAAGAATGATCTCCCTGCTCCTGCTGGCCACACCATTCCTGATCCAGGCCTTCTTGGCCACCTGGACACACTGCTGGCTCATGCTCGGTCAGCTGCCAACCAGTACCCCCAAGCCCCATTCTGCCTGGCCACTGTCCAGCCACTCTGTCCCCAGCCTGCAGCGCTGCATCATCACCAGGCCCCCAGAAATGTGCCTGGGTGGTGGAGTTGGGAATTGTGTTCCCAGGAGAACTGAGTCCTGCACTCCCCCACAGCGCCTGCTCCGCCTCTGACACAACCCAGCTCCCCGCTACCCAGAATTACAAACCCCAGGGGCTCGAGACAAAAAAAAAAAACCTGGATTCCAGGAGTGATTCTCAGTTCCTTATTTTTGTTTTGTCTTAAAAAAGGGAAGGGGTGGCAGTGAGGCAACCTGATGGGACCTTGCGGCAGCCGGCGGCGGAGCCGGCGCGGCCGCGGCGCCCATCGGGGAGCCAAGGATCCGCTCTGCAGCAGCCTGTCCAAGCTCCACGACGCTCACGACTCAGCACGGAGAGCACCAGCAACAGCTCACAAACGGGACACTCGAGATTTGCACATGCACGGGAAGCACGGACAGAGATGAGCCACCCACAGGCAGACACCGCACGGCTATGAGGAGGTGACCAGGCACGGGGACACGCGCACCTCGCGCATGCAGACACCGGGGCGCCCCGACGGCCGTCAGGGCGCCGACTTGGACTTTTTTTTCAAGCTTAAGAAAAGGAGGGAGAACGGTTTTGTGAAGCTGATACAAGTGTTCTGGCTCAGCCTCTTGGAAGAGAGCACCATTTGTTTTGCTTTTTCTGCATTAACGTGCCAGTCCCTGGAAAAATCCTCGAGAGTACGGCAAGAAAACTTTCCCTTTCCCTTCCCACTCCCGGCACCGAGCAGCCGGGGCTGGCTCCGACCCCACCAATGGGTGCTCAACGCACGCTGAACTTTACAGGGATTTCCTTTAGAGGAACAAAGAGTTACGATCATGGCTGAGATCCCTCGGGTGAAGTCCCTCTCAAATCTCCACGCTCTCAGGAGGTGATCACAAAAGGTTTTGGATTGTTTCATACCCAAGCAGGGAAGAGAGCGGTTCCGTAGGCTCCGTCCCCCTGCCTAGCAGCCTGCAGGTCCCGCTGTCTGGTTGTAGCAGTAGGTTGGGCTGAAACACGAGGTAGGCCTCCATCACATGTCTACTCTAGCACAGCAGCTCCTGTGCAGTTTCCTCCTGCTGAGGCTCAGAGCCTAAATTTTCACATCTTCCTGGACACTGAGCTGGGAGAGGGTTTTCTTAATGCGGAGGGCGGTGAGCCGAGCCGCTCCGTTGGCGTACCAGCACTCTCGCATCATCTTGCCCATCACCCGTAGTGCCTGGGCAAGAAACAACAGCAAATGTCACTGCTCTGCTCTTCCCCTGAGCCCACGTGGGTCTGCCAGGCTGCTGCTCTGCCTGGGCACTGACACAGCCTCCACATCCCCCAAAATCAGAGAGCACCTTACAGTACTTGTTACCTCATCCTGGGGGAATCATGGAATGGTTTGAGTTGGAAGAGACCCTAAAGCTCATCTCATTCCATGCCCTGCCATGGGCAGGGACACCTTCCACTATCTCAGGTTGCTCCAAGCCCCATCCAACTTTGGACACTTACAGGGAAGAGGCAGCCCCAGCTTCTCTGGGCATCCTGTGCCAGGGCCTCACCACCCTCATAGGGAGGAATTTCTTCCCAATATCCCACTTAACCCTGCCCTCTGGCAGTGGGAAGCCACTCCCTCTTGTCCAGGGACTTCTTGTAAAGATTCTCCCCCCCTCTTTCTTGCAGACTCCCTTCAAATACTGCAGGACCACAATCAGGTGACCCCAAAGCTTCTGCTCTCCAGGCTGGACAATCCCAGTTATCTCAGCCTTTCCTCACAGGAGAGGAAGGGGACACGGAGATGAAAGCAGACCTCACCTCGTAGCTCTGCCACCAGTTTGGGATGTTTGGCCGCAATTTCTGGTCACACACGACCTTCCGCATCTCCTCAATCGAAGGATCAGAGGGCACAAGGTCGTAGTAGGGAAGCTGATACTCCTCATGGATACCTGAAAAACAGAGCAGGGAAAATCACATTCCTGGGAACAGGGACCATGGCCACTGTGCTTGCTAAAGACAGACGGATAGAGGTTTGGGCTCCATGACTCACTGCTGAGATGCGTCAACACTTTGCAGTTATTTAGAACAGAAATGAAGAATCTGGAATTGGAGTTAACAAGAAAAATTCAGGGAAATAAAATGCAGCTGCCTAAACTGGAACGGAGTCAGCAGGCTGGGATCAACACCTCCCAGCAAGGCGCCAGGGTCACTGAACCTCCACGGCAGCGGGACTGTCACACGTGGGATGATGCTGCAGCTGCACGTGCCAAGACATTTATACTGATCTGGGGGGTTCCCCACCAGGCAGCACCACCATTTCCTGAAAATCCATCCAAAGGAACACCAGCCACCACTGGGAGCACCAACACCCTTCACCCAACATCCATCCAAAGGAACACCAGCCACCACTGGGAGCACCAACACCCTTCACCCAACACTGGCTGGGCTTAGCAGCAGTCATGGGTCACTTCTGTTACCTCCCTCGGTGACAACACACAGGGACATGTCCTCCCACAGCCCTGCCCTCCCTCAAACCTCCCAAACATCTGATGAGTGAACCCTCAGGTGGGAGAGCCAGGAGCAAGCATGGCCACTGGCCCAGGCACACAAATATTACCTCCTGCGTTGCACCTTCGGGCAATCTCCCAGTAGACCAAGCCCAAGGCGTAGATATCAGCACATTTAAATGAATCAAAATGCTTCATGTTGATGGTTTCATCCAAGACTTCTGGGGCCATGTATCTGCACAGAGAAAAGAAAAGCATTTTCATTCTGAGAGGGAATTTTCTGGAAGATAGTAAACAAAAAGAAAAAAGAAAAAGCTCTGCTTGACACAGCCACCATCAGAACAGAACTAGGCCCCCTGATTTAAGAGAGTGAAGAAAATAACTAAAGAACAACAGCAAGCTGGGAAAAGAGGTAGAAATGTCCCAAAACTACATCAGGCTCCCACCAGAAGGTCCCAAAGGTTTTAGTGAGGCCAAGCTTGTTGTCATGTATTCAGTGAGCTCCTGTGCCAGGTTTACATGGCTGGCCCACACCTCCCAGCGTGGTGACACCTGGAACATCCCTTTGGCACCAACTCAGGCACAAAACACGCTGCAAGACACTGGGAAACGCTAAATTCAGAGAATTCCCCCAATGCTCAACCCACAGCTCAGGCACTTCCAGCCACCCAAATGCCCTCACATGCATTTTCCTACCGTTTGGTTCCAACCCTCTGGTTCGGGGCGATGTCGATCGTGTCCGTGACGGAGTCGTGCCGGACGGCCAGGCCGAGGTCAGCGATGGCACACGTGCCGTTCTTCTTCACCAAAATATTCTTGGATTTCAGGTCTCTGTGAGCAATCCCAGGTTTTCCTAGCAGAACAAAATAAAAAGCAGCAAGGGTCAAGCTGGGGAAATCCATTTGTTGAACTGGCACAGAGGCAGAACCGGATTTCAGGGCGTTAAACCCTCTGTTGCAACACTTTTTCCTGTTTAGGTTCATAAGGAACAGAGCAGGGAAAAGCTCCAGTCGTGTTTTGGAGGTGCCACTGATGCAGTGACACCCAGAGGCCTCAAGAGGGATGTAAACTCCACAGCCCAGCATAGGCGCCGACGTCAGGAGTTTGTGATTCTGCTTCTGCCTGTGCTCACATCCCACCCAGGCAGCGCCAATTTTAGGATGGGATGTGAAATGGTGATATAACTCCTGGGAGCGCGCGCCAGGTTAACCCACTTCACAGCCAGCCAAAGCAATCGCTCTATTTCTGCTCGATAACCACCAGATGAAGCCGGGCTGACTCAGGCAGGGTTTGCTGCACAGCACATCAGCTCCCTTCAGCAATCCTGCTTTATCCTCCCCTCAAGAACTCCCAATGCCTTTCCCAAAGTAGCTTTTACCCTGAGTGCCCACGATCTCCATGTGCAGGTGGGCCAGCCCGCTGGCAGCAGACAGGGCGAGCTTGATCATGCCCTCGATAGTCACCGTGTAGCGATTCAGGTAATCAAAGAGAGAGCCGTGCTCGTGGTAGTCAGAGACGAGCCACAGCTGAGTCCACGTCCCATTATCTGCAACAGGAAAGAGATGGAGCTCAGGCAGATCCAGGCCAGGGATGGCCACTGAGCATCCCACACGTTTTTGGGACAGAGCAGAGCTGCTGGGTAAGGCTGCAGCTCAACAGGGGCAAGTAAGAAACGGCTCAAATCATAGTGTGGCCAGCAGGACCAGAGAGGTGACTTTCCCCCTGTGCCAGGCACTGGTGAGGCAACAGCTCAAATCCTGGAGTCAGTTTTGGGCAGTGTAGAGGCCCAGAGAAGGTGACTTAATCACCTTTAGTCCCCCATGACAAGAAAGACGTAGAGGTGCTGGAATGTGACCAGAGATGGGCAATGGAGCTGGGGAAGGGAGTGGGTAACTTCTGAAGAGCAGCTGAGGGAACTGGAGGGCTCAACCTGAAGAAAAGGAGGCTCAGGAGGGACCTTCTCATGCTGTTCAGCTTCTTGACAGGAGGATGGAGATGCTGGAATGTGACCAGAGATGGGCAATGGAGCTGGGGAAGGGAGTGGGTAACTTCTGAAGAGCAGCTGAGGGAACTGGAGGGCTCAACCTGAAGAAAAGGAGGCTCAGGAGGGACCTTTTCATGCTGTTCAGCTTCTTGACAGGAGGATGGAGGTGCTGGAATGTGACCAGAGATGGGCAATGGAGCTGGGGAAGGGAGTGGGTAACTTCTGAAGAGCAGCTGAGGGAACTGGAGGGCTCAACCTGAAGAAAAGGAGGCTCAGGAGGGACCTTCTCATGCTGTTCAGCTTCTTGACAAAGACGTAGAGGTGCTGGAATGTGACCAGAGATGGGCAATGGAGCTGGGGAAGGGAGTGGGTAACTTCTGAAGAGCAGCTGAGGGAACTGGAGGGCTCAACCTGAAGAAAAGGAGGCTCAGGGTGACACTCTGATCAACTTTGTGACAGGAGGATGGAGCCAGGTGGGGTAACAAGCAACAGGACCAGAGGAAACGGCCTAAAGTAACACCAGGGAAGGTTTAGACTGGATATTAGAGAAAACTTCTTGGAAAGGGTGGTGAGGCACTGGAACTGGCTGCCCAGTGGTGAAGCCTCTGCTCCCAGGCCCCAGGCACTCTTACCTTTGTTATCTGCAGCAATGAATCCCAGGATGTTCTCGTGCCTCAGCATCACTGTTTGATAGATCTCTGCCTCCCTGAACCAGGAACGCTCCTCACGTGATGAGAAGATCTTCACAGCCACGTCACCCCCGCGCCACCTGCCCCGCCACACCTCCCCGAAGCGGCCTTTGCCGATGATCTCCTGAAGGACAATTGTCCGAGCCACGGTCCGTTGGACAAACAGAGGCAAGCCTGGGGACAAGGAATGGAAGGAATGAATCCCTGTGGTGATAGAAGGTCTCCTCCAGCCAGGTCTTGTAAGCTCTTGGAGATCTGTTTCACACCCAAGATAGCTCAGCCACCTCAGATGGCATAAAATCAGCAGGAGAGCTTCTGTGGTGGTGTTTGAAATTAAAAAAATTAATAAAAGGCAAAATAACAAAGCTCTTTACAGAGAAAACTCAAGCCAGGTGCAAGAGGTTCTTGCTCCTGGTAAAACACCCCACAAAAGCAATTAGTTCCTTTGTTCTCTTCTTTTTCTAGTGAATTGCTTAGGTGGGACTTTTTGGCTCCTGTCCAATCCTTAAGTTTGAGGGGAAGTCTCTCAGGTCCTATGAGGTGTCTTCTTTGCTAATTGAAGAAAGGAACTTCTGGGCTTTTTTCCTTTTTAAGGAGACAAAGGATAATTTGGTCACTCCGTCAACAGGGGGCACATTCCTACACTGTGGTAGCAAAAAACCTCCTGAAACCCCAGAGGCTGAAGAATGTCCTCAAACCCAGCAGGCTCTACATTTGATAACAACTGGGAGCCTGAGCAAGACCCAAACCAGGGAATGGTGGCAGCTCCTGTGTGGGATGTGCCACTGCTTGGGCAGAATCTGCATTTTGCTTTGAAGCAGAGATCCAGCATGGAGCAGTTGGGGAACTTCTGCTCCATGCTGGATGAAAGGAACTGCAGCCTTAATATGCAAAGTATGGAACTTGAAGTCAGTTTCTGCTAAAAAGCAGAACCCCCCACAAATTTATCTTAAGAAAGGAGTCCCAACATCACTGCAATTGCTTACAGAAAGCACTGAGCTCACCTGCCCACAGCATGCATAGAAGAGATGCCAAATATTTTATATATAGCAGCAGATGTGCTGCTGAAGGTTTATTCCCTGGTCAAATATCAGGTTGTGACATTCTCTGCCTCTGTGGATTTTCCTACAGTTTCCATCTGCTGCAGAATCCCTTACATTCTTTAACCCAACTACCTTCCTAGTTCAAAGGCACCACTAAACAGTGACTTTCCATCTATTCTAGGGATTCCTTTCAAGTGCTACAGAAGCAAACCTGCACGTCATCCATCTGGGAAGACCCAAGGGCTCTTTGGGATGAAATGGGCTGTGCAAATGCACTATTTGCACTGTAAAATGTTGATCTGCTGGGATCTTCCCCATTTTCCTGCAGCTTTGAAGCAGGTGACAGCCTACATTCTCCTCTGAAAGCCAACAACACACAGGTTAGCAGTTAATGGCTGCTTCCAACACAAATCCTGTTCCAAGGCTGAACTGGGAACAGATGCAGCTCTTGCAGTTAAGGAGGAGTTTAACTATTGCTCCTATCTGAACAAACATGAGACCACCACACGACTGAATTTAAACATTCCTTCAAGTTCCTCATGACAGACCCCCTGAACAGGCTCTGAGGCAGCAACCTCACTGCTGTGGCAAAATTAGTGGCAACCACTAACCCAAAGAGACAACTTCAAGTTCTCATTGGTCACGTCCCACCATCTCGCAATACCTGAGCCAGAGCCGGAGGTGGAGAGATCATAGACCAGATCTTGCAAGGTCTTGTCCTTGGAAAGGCACATTTCACAAGAAGGATCCTCCATGTCCAGCCTCTGGCGGTTGTGATAGACCCGTTGGTGGTGATGGAACACAAAGACCACAATGATCATGACAACAAACACGAGGAAGACGGGCCCGGCAATCACCGCCACCAGCTCGACGGGACCCCAGCTCGACGGGGGCTCATTGTCTTTCAGGTGTCCTTGGGAGGAAAGGGAGGAGAAAAACAGGCATTTTGAGAAAATTATCGTTGCTTTGAGGACTTTTGTGTGTTTTACTGTTCTCTCGGAGCCTGGGCAAGCCTGAAGACACGTTAAATAACAGTGTTAAGGTGGGGCTGATCGTCAGGCAGGCAAAATGCAGCTGAAAGCCCAAAAGGAAGATGGAGCTGCAATTGTGGGATCAGGGATTGTGGGCTGTTCATTCACTCTTTTAGACAGGAGTGGGCTCTGGGCTGATTTTCCAGAACAGTCTGCAGTTCACATTCCATTTGAACTTGACCATTGGGCCAGGGCTCCCTGCTCCCTCTTTCCCTTTTGTCCTGCAACAATCACTGAACTTGTACCTGACAACAATCATTTGTTGTTTTGAGCACAGATGAGACCTCCCCACTGCTCCCAAGGAAAATGACTCTGCAGTCTTCCCAGCACCCACTAAAAACCAGCCCAAAACAGAAAGTAGGAGGTGTGAGGAAGCACCACATGCCCTCTCTGTCCCAGGGATGAGAAGCAGAAGTTTCCCACACCCTCACTCAGAGGCAGGGCTCCTTCCCCTGCATGTGTTCTGAACACAGGCACCTTCCTCCCCACACACTTTGCTCTGAAGCTGCTGCAGTGTTCCTCTACTTGTGCTCAGCACTGAAAAGATTTGGAGTCTTGGAAGGGAAGCAACACCAGCTGATAAAGGCAGGGCCAGCTCAGCGACAAAGGGAACACACACATTCCCACTTGAACTTGAAGTAGTTTGTTATTTCCACTTTACAGATGAAGGAAATAAACCCAGCGCTCAAGTTCATGCAGCAACTGAAGGGAAGAAGTGAAAACAGGGCTGAGAACTCCAAATTCCCGATCCCAAACAGACAGCTCCTCTCCTCCCACTTCAAACACATGATTTATCTCACTCTCCACTTACCACTGGGAACCATTAAATCAATTTTGTTGCAAAAATCAGAGTAGCAGCAGTGAGTATTACGCAGATCCTCCGAACTCAGACAATAGAAGGGTTTCCCAGCAGGAATCAATTTTGCCTCAGGAATGCAGGTCCGAACGTGGTGCTTGACTCCATCCAGGTTGAAGACTGAGACCATGCAGGCACCGTCCGTCTCACACGTGGAGTTGGCTTGTTTGCAGTCAGAGCACAGACATGTCAAAGCTGAAATCAAAACAAGATCAACCCCTTAAAACCCACAGAGAGCAAAAGCTCCAACCAGAGGAAACCTTCTTTAAATTCTCCATTTCAAGAGCCGTTCTCAAGCTGTGGAAGAACCGGCTCTGCAAACAGCACAAGTCATACTCAGTATTCCAGACCTGCAAGAATCCAATTTCGGCACGAAACAGACTGTGGAGGCAGAGGAGCCTTTCCAGGAGGTGCCTGTCCAGGCAGCCCTTTGCCTGCCCCTGTTGCAATCACACCAGCCACGACCCAAGCCATCCCTGCAAACCGACCGAGATCCTCTCCCAGCCCAACCTCGGGTCAGACTCAACCCAAACCCAAAAATGACTCAAACTGACTGACCTGATTCCACCTGGGCTGACTGTCCAGGCTCCCTGGAGCTGCCTCATCTGGGCTGGCAAGGAATGACCACCTCAGCTCAGGGACACAGGGAGCAGCTGGCAGAAGCCAAAGCAAACCCAATCCCAAGTGACTGCACGAGCCAAGCGTGCACACCCAGCTAGATCAGCCACTTATTTAATAACTGCTTTCCTGATCCCAGACACTACCTTGGGTCAAATAAATTCCTGGCTTTTTGCCTGCTCTCCAGAAAGATTATTTGGATAAAGAGAAGGAGAAACTCTGAGGCAGATTCCCACATTTTTCCACCTCCCAGCTGTCATTGTAGTTTTCTCAAGCTGCATGAAAAACTGTAAGCAAATCTCCAGGCCTTGCCATCCTTGGGAACAAAGAGGAATCCAACAATGTCAAGAAGAAGGGTGGGGCTTGTTTAGCAGCACGCTGGGTTTTCACCAGCTTTCATCAGCTCTCCCAGCCTTCCCAGAGGGAATCCAAAACATGTCCTTACCCGTTGCAGAAATGGGCTTTCAGGTAGGGAGGGTGTGAAGAAGGGTTTTAAAAGATCCAAGTGCCACAGTTAACTCTGCCCAGGCTGATCTAAATCCTCTCAGTGCAAAGTCACACACAAAGTCACCCTCAACACTTGTGTGTGGGGCCATTTCACCCCTAAGCTTAATGAAAAACAAGCTGGTCCTGATTTACTCAGGGCTCCTTTAGGAGGAAGACACCCATTAGCCCTTATCCCAGAGACCTGGGTAAATCAATCAGGGTAATTGCATTACTATTCACTTAATTCTCTCTGGATGCTGCTCCTCCTTTTCCAGCTGCTGTTGTGAGCTCTTTCAGATGGGCTCAATGTGGGTGCTGGTTAGTTTGGAATCAACAGATTCAAAACTGCAGTGAAAAGCCAGTGACAAGAGCCAAGGGAAGGGCTGGAGCTGTGTCAGCAGAGGTTTAGGATGGGTACAGGGAAAGGTTCTTCCCCCAGAGGGTGCTGGGCACTGCCCAGGCTCACCAGGGCATGGCCCTGAGGCTGCCAGGAGTGTTTGGACACTGCTCTCAGGAATGCACAGGATGAGATCTTGAGATGTCTCCACAAGAGCAGGAATTGGACTGGATGATCCTGGTGGGCCCTTTCCAGCTCAGGATATTTCATGATTCTGTAACTCTGTGATCAAAAGCTGAAGAGCTATTGAGTGAGACACCTTTAAAAAGCATCAAGAGCAAATGGAGCTTCCTACCAGGTGCTCAGCACAGGCCAGAGAAAAGGGACATGGGACAGAAAATGGACAGGGAAGATTGGTCTGTGTGGAGAAGGGTGGAGAACACCCATAAATTCTGAAGATTTTGAGAGGAAATATTATAATGAAAGGAAAAAAACCCCTCCACTAACATGCACTTCAAACAGCTCCAAGATCAGTGTTTTCCCATGGTCAGCAGAGTGCAGAAGAGACAATTCTGAAAAATACATACACTTGAGGGAACAAAGGTTGGTGATAAAGGAGATTTCATGAAAATCTGAGATGGCAAAGAGCACCCAGGGCACATTCCTGCCTTCATGTCTGCTTAAAAGGAAATGGTCTTTTAAAGCATCTCCCTTATTACTTATCAAAAGCTCGAGGTACAAATTAAAAACATTTAACCCACACACATTTCACTGTGTAGGTTCTTTTCAGTTTGATTTAGATACAACAAAACTGAACTTTGTTCCTGTTAGACTCATTTTTGAGGTCTCAATTCCAAGATTTAGGCTGTGGCAGTTTTGCTTCCAGAAGCTACAAAGCAAACAAAACACTTCAATGCACTAATAAAACTGGTTTTGTAAACTTCTGAGTGAATTATCTGGCCTGAAACTGAGCATGCCTTTGAGAGGGAAAGCAGAGAAGCAGGTCGTGTCTGCTCAGTCTCATTTGTAGGATTAAAAAACAACAACAAAAAAATCAGTTTACCTGCAAGGTATGATACCAGAGCCCCAGCTTGGAGACAGAGTGAGATCCTTATCTGTTCTGTGCAGAAAGCCAAAATTTCCTGCTAAAGGAGGGGGATGCCCCACGGTTTCACCTCACCCTGCTCCCCCTCTGAGACAACTGCTCTTTTTTAACTTTAATTCTTAGGTTTGCACCTCAAAAATCCCTGTGGTCAGAGAGCAGCTAGAACAAAGAGAACGGAGCCTTCAGCACACACTGTCCTTCTTTCCACCTCTCATCAGAGACCCTTGAGGGGCTTTCCAGGTATTGTTGGCCAGAACCTCCAGGCTGCAGGCAGGAACTCTCCAATTTTCTGTGTGTGCCAGGGAGGAAAGGCCTGTCTGCACCGGGGCTCACTGGGAAGCTCCTGGCAAAGAGGAGAATTACAGAGCAACTCATGCGGGTCCAGTAACTCCAGTTTGCTTAACCAGAAAGGCAAATTCTTCTATCAGAAACTTATGAGAAGGCAGGAAAAAGCAGCTGTTGTTTGCCCTTGGGTGGGGGCCAGAAGGTGGGCAGGGAAGCAGAGCCCCCCGCTGGTATCTCTTGGGTGCTCTCAGAGCAGCCGGGGCACAGCAGGAGACAGGAGTGGATAAAAGGATTTTTCATGCCAACAGCATTCTTTTTCCTTGGGGAAGAAAAGCTCCTATTGAGCCAAACATATAATCTACTTAATAAAAAAACCCGCCTGGGCTGAAGGAAATAGATGGGGTGAAGGGAAACAAAGAGCAGTTCCCAGAGCCGGGCCGGCCGTTCCCCCCTCGCAGGGCTGCGGGGAAGGTGCGAGCGGAGCTGGAGCCGGAGCTGGAGCGGAGCCCAGAGCCGGGCCGGCCGTTCCCCCCTCGCAGGGCTGCGGGGAAGGTGCGAGCGGAGCCGGAGCCGGAGCTGGAGCGGAGCCCGCCCGATCTGCTCCCCACACGGACACCCAGAGCCAGCCCAGCCCTTCAGGGACACTGCCTGAACAAGCCCAACGCTCAGCTGCAGATCCTGTGCATGAAAAGCTTTGTTCTCACTGGAGGGATGGAGCAGGTTGGAGCAAACCTTGCTGTGGTTCGATCCGAGGCCGGGCCTCACTGCTCTTCCCCAAAACCTGAGAGGTCGCTCAGCACTGACAACAAACAAATATATTTTTTTTTGTTATTGGCAGTGCTGAGTGACCTCTCCTCAATCCTCCACTAGCCCAGCCCATGGTTTGACTCCTTCAAGCCCAAGAGCTGCTTCTGCTGCCCACGAGTTCCTGGGTTACAGCCCCAGCTCTGAAAGGATCCTGGGGGACAGAGGTATCCATATCCCCCTGCATTAACCAGAAAAGAGGAAAAAATCAAGAGCTGGCTCTCTCCCTCCAAATCCCCCCCCATTAAAAACAACCTGTATTTCCAAAATGGATCCAAACAAACAGGTGGGGGGCTGTAGATTTGAGCTCTATGCTCCAGGGAGACTCAAACACTGAGCTCTGACAGGCAAAGAACATTTCTCCTCCTTTCCCAGCAACTCTCCGAGCTCATTTTGCACGTATTTATTCTCACACGGAGTTGCATGTGTCAAGATGTCTCTGCAGCTAGACAGGGGAAAGTTTCACAGCAGAATCTCCTGCAATGGTGTTAACCACCTTTTGGAATACATTTTCCAGCATCTCCTAAAGCTGTGCCTAAGAAAGATGCCATTTTCTCACGGCTGAACTCTACCTGATCAATATGTATGAGGATAATTAACCTGAAGATGATCATTGGTAAAATTGCCAATAACCACCCACGTATTTACCAGATAAACAGATTTTTTGCAGGGATTGTAGCTGCTGTTCTTTTTCAACAGTTTGAATTGAGGATGAAAGAATGACTCCCCTGACTTTGAGCCTTTCCAAGGCTCTGGAACAGGAGCTGCAGTTGATTGTGTCTTTGTGCAGCACCAAACTTAATGAGCCCCACTCTGGGAGCACCAGTTTCGTGCTGCAGCAGCATGATGTTAGCAGGAGAAATGGGGAACAATTGGCTTTGCAGCTCTGCTGCTTCTTTGGATGCTTTAATGAAGAGGGACGTGTGTAAACATGCTTGGAAGAAAGAAATACCTGTCAGTGTCTGGCTCTGTGCTGTGCCAAAAGAAAGAGCAACCTGTATCACACAGGGTTAGGAATCATATCCATTCCCAGGTGTGTCCAGGAGTCCCTGTGTGCTCCTTGTTCAGCTGGATAAAGGAACAGAGCTCCAAGGAAACAACCAGCTCCCTTTCCTGAGGCAATGATGAGGGGCACTGAGCCATCTCATGAAGGCTTTAAAGAAACAAGATTTACTTTCCATTATGTTATCATGGAATCCTGGAATGCCTTGGGTTGGAAGGGACCCTAAAGCTCATTTTGTTCCACCCCACTGCCATGGGCATGGACACCTTCCACTATCTCAGGTTGCTCCAAGCCCCCTCCAGCCTGGCCTTGGACACTTGCAGAGAAGGGGCAGCCCCAGCTTCTCTGGGCATCCTGTGCCAGGGCCTCACCACCCTCACAGGGAGAAATCCTTCCCAAAATCCCACCTAACCCTGCCCTCTGGCAGTGGGAAGCCATTCCCTCTTGCCCTGGCCCTCCAGGCCCTTGTAAAAGTCTCTCTCCATCTTTCTTGCAGACTCCCTTCAGGTACTGGAAGGTCACAATCAGGTGACCCCAAAGCTTCTGTTCTCCAGGCT